GGCAGGGTACAACATAAATATATCTACAAAGCACAATTGAATATCGTAAACAAGTCAGGCAACAATAAAAAACAACTCTAAATAAAATATAATTAGGAAATAGTGAAGAAGCAATTCTGTATTGATTCAGTCGAGTCAAGATGATCAATAGGTATTAGGTACCATTCCTCTACGGTGCGGGAAAAAAAGAATATTTAAAGAGTTTAGACCTGGCAACATAAGGGGAGAGTGTGAGGGGATGAGAATGACGGGTTTTCCTAGTCTCAGAAAGGGTTATGTAAGGACTGGGATCTATAAAAAATTTACGATTTAACAAAGAATGGAGGAACTTCAGTCGGGATATTTTGCGCCTCACTTGAAGTGTGTGAAAACCGTTAGAACGTATAAGATCCGTTACAGAGTCCTCCCGGCTGTATTTGGAAAAAATGAATCACATGGCTTTTCTCTGTATTCTCTCAAGAAAATAAATATTGGTTTTGGTGAAAGGATCCAATAATGGAGGTGTATTCTAACTTGGGTCTGATAAAAGTTGTATAGGCTAAAATTTTCACGTCATGGGATGCATGTTTAAGCTTGTGCCGAAGTAGACATAATTTTCTGAAAGCAGAAGAGGCGGTGTTAGAAATATGGGTGCTCCAGTTGAGGTTGTTAGTAATGGTAACTCCAAGATATTTGTACTCCTTAACTTCAATCAATGGGTCTTGGCCAATGGAGTATGAAAACATCAGGGGTACTGTTTTTTTAGTTATACACAGGAGCACCGACTTAGAAGAATTTAACTTCATGCCCCATTTATTGCTCCACTTAAAAATACTGTTTAAGGCTGCACTAAGCAAGAATCGGTCTTCAACACTATTGATTTTGTTAAAAATAACGTAGTCGTCTGCGAAAAGACGAATATTTACTGGGGCTTGTATGACATCTGTTATGTCGTTGCAATAAATAAGGAATAATAGTGGGTCAAGTACACTTCCCTGAGGTATCCCTGAGGTTACCGGGAAAGAGTCAGATTGCTGTCCGTCAATGATAACACACTGTTTCCGATGCATTAAATAGGCAGATAACCATGATAGGATGAAGCCAGGAAAACCAAGGAACTGTAATTTGCAGATTAATTTGTCATGAGGAACTACATCAAAACCCTTTTGAAAATCTAGAAACATAACGGCCATTTGTCCACCTCTGTCAAGAACAGAAGCGAAAGAATGTATGACCGTACTTAATTGGGTGATTGTTGAAAGACCCTTCCTAAAGCCATGTTGAAAGGGAGTTAGAATGTCATGCTCATTTAAGAAGTTATTAATGTAATCCGAAACTATATGCTCAATCATTTTGCAAGAAGATGATAAAATAGAAATCGGACGGTAATTTAAGACTGAAGATGGGTCGCCCTTTTTTAAAATTGGTACAACGCGTGCAATTTTCCAGTCGGGTGGAAGTATCGTGGATTCTAGAGAGACCTGAAAGATTGCGACGAGAAATTTGCTTAGTGGTCCAGCGTAACGCCGGAGGAAGGAGTTGGGAATGCCATCAGGACCGACGGAAGATTTCGTCTTCAATCGTAGAAACATGTTAAGCACACCTTGTTGAGAAATATTGATATCCGAAAAGGAGGACCGTGGAATTTGAAAAGAAGGGTGAGTAGGCGGGGAGAAGACACTGTGAAAGTGGGCATATAAAAGGTTAGCAATGCTCTTGGGGTCAGTTATTGCAGTACCGTCATGGGTAATGCTCGTTATCGATTTCTTTTGTTCCTTAATAAAGTTCCAAAACTTCTGTGTATCTTCCCTTATAAAGTTAGGTAAAGTGTTGCTGAAATAAAACTTCTTTGCCTCTGTAATAGATTCTGACAGAGCTGTACGAACAGTGGTTAAATTAACGGCAGCAGCTCCTTTTTTCCGTAATCGTTTGGCTTTACGTTTTAACTGAATGGTACGGCTGTTCATCCAAGGTGTGTGTTTAGTTGGTTTTACACGTTTGTTTGGTATGAACTGATCTATGCAGAATAAGCACATGGCTTTAAACTTGGTCCAAAGCTCAAGGACATCACTTGCGCGAAATTCACAAAAGCAAGATTCAAGATATTCTACTACACTGATATCGTCAGCCCATGCAAAATCTTTCACAAACACAGGTGCATGCGTGTCAGGCGTATGTTTAACATTCAACGAAAGGTATACAGACACAATATCATGGTCAGATAGGCCAGGCTTGACAGATACATGGTAATTAGAAAAGGAACGATCAAGAAAGACGAGATCAAGGAGCGAGTCGATACCGGTTCCATGTCTAGTAGGCTCGCGAACTACTTGTACAAGATTGTGTACAGGCATCAAATCAAAAAGAACGTTTGCGTCACGTACAGAACCGGCACCCGATTCGATACGATCCCAGTCAACGCCTGGTAGGTTAAAATCACCAACCACCAGAAGTTTACTTTTATCGGCATAGGCGGCGGTGAATAGGTCGGTGGCGAAAAGGGCGGCGGCGAATACATAGGCGCTGGAACGCAGGCTGGAACGCAGGCTGTCGAGGTCGAGCAATGGCCTCGGCGTACGTGAGAGGTGCGGCGACTGGCGGTGGTTCACGGGCGGGAGGAAGAACTTGTGCGACCTGGTCTTGATTGAAGTCGCGGAGTGTAGACGTCAATTTGCGTGGTTGATCGGGTACACAGGACATCAAAGATAGGTTGACGAGCGACCTCAGCGCGGATGAACTCTTGGATCTTGGAGAGAAGAGGGGCATGGTCTTCTCGTGGTTTATGAACCACAGCTTGGCCACGTCCGACAGGTAGAAGGAGACGTAGGCCAACTTGGTGGCGTCATTCCATTTGTTGTGAGTACTCACTCGCTCGTACATAGAAATCCAGTCATCAACGTCCTTGTCTTCTGTGCCTGAGAAAACAGGGGGATCTCGCAGACGCAGAGAACCGGCGCAGATAACAGTAGGCGGCGCTTGCGTCGGTAGGCATAATGGACCGTAAATTGCGATTCCAAAGCTCCAGGGTGATCAAAACCCAGCAGTTTGTATGTGGCGCTGACGGACACTCCTACGTTTAAATTCACATATAATTTATATGTGAATCGGCGGCTATCCCCCCAGCCACTTTATTGGGTTTATATGATATAAGCCCAATAAAGTGGCTGGGGGGATAGCCGCCGAGGTAGCTCAGCGGTAGAGCATGGAGCGCGTTATTCGAAGGTTGCAGGTTCGGTTCCTGCTCACGGCAAGTTATCTTAACACCTACTTTTCTTTCTTCACATTTACATTACAATTAAGTCTAATAACTTCCCCTATGCATTCCTTGGCACTATTGTCTGTTAGATTTCATTATTATTGTGTCAAAACACGGAAAAACGAGCCCCAAGGTGTACACTTCTTTCCCTTATATATATATATATATATATATATATATATATATATATATATATATATATATATATATATATATATATATATATATATATTCGTATAGGAAAGAAGACGCACGTACGAAGTCATTTTATTTGACGTTTCGGGCGTGGGTCCGGCCTTCATCAGAATCTGATGATTCTGATGAAGGCCGGACCCACGGCCGAAACGTCAAATAAAATAACTTCGTACGTGCGTCTTCTTTCCTATACGAATAATATTTCCCGGACCCAGCATCACTTTTGTTTTTGGTATATATATATATATATATATATATATATATATATATATATATATATATATATATATTTGCATCATTTCCTCGATTTGTCGACGGACAAGGTGAGGGGTTTTCGCTCACAAACCAATGACGCTGACACCGGAATTTCTGTGAAATGATGTTCTTTAACGCCATCACGTTAATATATCCTTGTTTACTGCAAGAGCGTAATCAGAAATATTTTCGGGGGTTGAGAGTGGTCCCACCACACTTTTTGTATGTTCGCACGTGTGTTAATATATGTGCTCGTGCCTTTATACGCTAGCAAAACTGAAAAAATCGTAGTGATGTCAAATTTGAAATCCCCCCCCCCCTTCCATACCATACCTACACCAGTAGTCTACTGTACATCTAATAAATATGAACGTCGGCATGCTTTGTACGTGGTCTTGCTTTTGAGACGTCTGTCTTTTAATCAAAGCGGGAGCGCTTCATGGAAGTGACCTGCACTCGATGACCACCTGTACTTTGCATTTTCACTCGCAGAAAACGAGCTATGAGAATCGGCTCCCTTGTTCAGTGGTATTAGCATGAATAAGGTTGTTTTGCCCTGACCTTGTAACGGCGCACCTGCGTTTACAGCGTACAACTAGTACAACGTTGAGCACAAAAGGGAGTTCGATCAGTCAGGTTTTGGTTTCGTTTTTGTCCCTTTTGACTTACGTTTAACATATTTTTTTATTATTTTGTGGAACAATAATACAGAAAGGCCACAGGATAATACCTCGAGACATGTTCAAAATATTGCCAGCTTGGGCTGCCCTTTGAGCTTGAACCATAGTGTCTTCCCAATAAATGTGTCGAATATATCATTGAAAAAGTACTGAAATGAGACATCTGCGTGCTACCTGCAGCGCTCAATTTACTGCGGCTGAAGTCATATCTTCTGATGCACTCAAACAATAATTACGGCTGTCATTATACTCATAAAACAATGAACTTTTTAAGCAGTGGAAATAAGAGGTCGAGTCAAAGAGTCCTTCCTGCAGTTTATAGCCACTTTGAAATTTCTGAAAGCTTGTCAGCCCTTGTACTGACAATTTCTCCTCTTTTCCTTCTCTTTTTTTCTCTCATCTTTATACTGCCCCTTTCCCATTCCACTAGCATAGGGTAGCAAACCGGGCATGTGCCTGGTTGGCCTTCCTGCCTTCTCTCTTGTTGTTCTTCCTTTATTTCTTCCTGAAACATTGACACTGAATACTATTGATCCTTTCTTTTTCTTTTGAAGAGAAATCTCTAGCCTAACGTACGTCTAAAAACGACCATAAGGAAGCATCTTCTCAATGTGGGCAACACTGCCACTAGTGGGGGGAAAAAATGGCGCTGAGCATGTCGGCTGTGTTAAAAGGGTTCTTTTCAAATAAGCATATTATCGGACGTAGCATAGGGTATGACTGCTCTCGTTATCGATAACGCAAAGATTAATTTTGTATTACATTACTTTAGTGATATTGTACCAGAATGCGGTGTCACCTTTAGGCGTACGAGCTGTTCTATTTCATTACTCCTTTCAGTCTAAATAAAAAATTCTAGCGTTCTTTTCTTCTGCCTAATTAAGCGAACTTTACATGCATACTATCCGGTCAGCTCTAGGTGCATTGTATTTGTCCAATACGTTTGCCTGAGCCCTTTAAATGTAGCGGACCCTTCGTCTAATTATCTGTTCCATACACAGGGCGACCAGCTGCTGCGCTCGCCTAACCCAAAATTCTGCTCGGGGATTTGCGACACAAAAGCACAGCAGTACTGGCACCGTACCGCCAGTGCCGAAGCGGCCTCCTTCTGGCTTCATTCTCTTCGCGGCCGACGCCAGAAAGATCGTACTCAAGGAAAACCCAGGTGTGCAAAATATAGTGATTCGCAAGAGTCGTGTGTTTGCTTTAGAAACGTCTGCATAGGCGCTATCTTAGCAATTTGTCTGCAGTTGTGAAATTGACGCGAGTAATCGTGGACTAATCGCCTTGAACAAGCGTTTGTTATCTTCACTCTACAGAAAACTTTACTCGGAAATCGATGTCACTGATCATAGTTCAAAGCTAGTTCAATAATTCCGCGTAAGTTTCCATCTACTGGCTTTCCTAAACGCTCGCAACCTTTAATTGAGAGGAAGTTGATTTCATAATCTTGAGTGTACTTTGAGCCTGCTATCTTATTGAATAATCATTTAGCGATGACAAGGCAGCTGAATTGTGTACCTCGGCTTTGTTTCACTGAAGTAGAATAAACTTGATTTGACTTGACACCCATGGAAATCGCAAGGTTTGATTTCAACATGAGCCAACTTATGCGAAAATGGGGTCATATTTCTCTCTAACTGGGGGGGGGGGGGGGGGGGGGGGTCTCAAAAAAGTTGATCGTTGGTTGTCAAAGTTTAGTGGTGAAATAGCCTTCTCATATGTGTAAAGCAGCATCTTTAGAGGTGTTCTTTAACCGTTGTTTGACTTCGGATGCCACGTGGGAACGGTACTGCATCTCTGCTGTAAAAGAACAACTTCGTGATCTAGTTGGCATTTGCCATGAAACATAATTCCAGCTAGAAAGATGTGCACCAAGTTGGAATGAAAGAAAATGTAAGCACGCCACCTGTGTTGTCGTAGTTGTGTTTTCTTTTATCCTTGCCTGGTGTTTATTGAGTCATGTGTTTGCTTTGTGAGACATCCCTGTATATTGGACATACTCTCACTGACGGTATGTCGAAGCAGTCTTGACTGATTGTCTTTGCCACTTCAAAGTAGTGCTGTACTATTTCTAACGAGTACTCCTTTAAAATTTTGGATGGAAAAATGCACCAATTGAAGCATTGTGATGATATATTGCCTACATGGCTAAGTGACACTGTGAAATGAATAAATAAGCTGCTCTAGAGGGCTAGTTTGACAGAAGTAGCATTAACTAATTTTAGGACAGCAGCAAACATTCAGTTTGTGTTTTCAGGCTTAGCTGTATCTCACCATAAATAAGGCATGTTTCAAAACAGTGTCCATTAACATCCATTTCCGAAACGGTTGTAGGCCCGTGGGCTCAGATTTGGTGCACGTCAAAGAACACCAGGTGGTCAAAATTTCCGGAGCCTTCTACTTTGGCGTCTCTCATAATTATATGGTTGTTTTGGGACGTTGAACCCCACATATCTATCAACATAGATCAACATAGAAAACATAGATCAACATAGAAAAAGTGACGGTCGCATATGCGCACCGTCACTTTTTCGTCCTCATTCTTTTTTCGTGCAGCTACGGACTGGAACGGCCTTTCTAACGAAGTCACCGCCATAACCTGTCCTACCACCTTTTTGAACACCGTAACAAATTACCTTGCATTGTAAAAAAAAAAAAAATGGCTTTCACGTTTTCATATATGTACCCACCCCTTATGTAATACCCCTTCAATGGGGTCTTTAAGGTAATAAAATGAAATGAAACATGCATTTCCAACATTGGCATACATTGGGCCTGCATCTGCAGTGGTTTTCTGGAGGCAACGTGGTTTTGGCATAAATCTATGTTTTCTAGCTGAAATTGTATGTCCCACAAAATATTTTACTTATATTAATTACCACTTCTTTCCATTGATGAAGAATAGTTCCTGAGAACCCCGTGGTTGTCTCTGCAAAAGTCCATGTATCCCAGATCATTAAGTCTATTACAGACTGTTCTTACTCTTTAGTATTGATGATCAAATGCAAGAACAGCCTTAGTTGTCATAAAAGAAGATATGAAAGGTAGGTATATGTACATTCCTTGTCAAGATTTAAATAGGCAATTACCGCAGCAGCTTTTAAGCTGGATCTATTTTATTAAAACAAAGCTTTCTTTGACTAGCCCACCGTGGTTTTACATCTGTTGGCATTTTATTATGTTGACACACACATGGGGGAAGGTACAGTTGAGCCCACTTGTAACATTACTCAAGTACCATGAAAATCCCATTGTTATAATAACTGGGAATTGTTATAAGCAGGTTGTATGAAAAAAAAGCTAAATAGGGCGACAACAGGCTGTTGCAAAACAACTACAATATTGGATGGGAAATACAACTCACACAGCAGTACTAAGGCTGACACGATTGCAGATTTTTTGGACATTCTTGAAAGTTCAGATGCTTTTATGGCACTGCCACAAGCCCCATCGAGTCACCGTGTAAGAATGTCTTAAATTTTAGATGTTGAAATCCTTTGAAGTTTTATTTTCCCAACTTTTTGCTCTAATGGCATATGCGAAACTGCAATAAGTAAAGCCTTAATCTATCAATGATCGTACATGTTCGAAGCACTGTTGCGAAGAGCCGCTGCTGCGAGTCAATTTGTTTGGGGCCACAGCAGATTCTGAAAATCAGCTTTGCTCCAATGCCAACATACTCCTCGGTGAAGCATACCATGAATCCAGTGGGGTTACTATCACAGCATGAGTCAACACCACCTTGGCAGTGACGTAGCCAGAAATATTGTTCGGGGTCTGTTGGCGGCAAGTTCTCATTTCGGCCACCTCAATTTCTTCACATTTATATTTACGATGTCTCCTATACTTTCCTTGGCTTTGATTAATGCCAGTCCCCGGAAGACGAAAGCTCAGCATAACTGCTGCTTCTCACTGTGACCTTCTTTCATGTATACAGGGTATTTCAAGAAATGTGTCCAACATTCTTTAAAAATCAGCAAAAGTCGCTATTTGCTCGCTGTCCTCACCGTTGCTTTTTAAATGCGAAGCATTTCTTAGGGAGTTTTGGTGACTTTGAGCGTATCTATCTATCTATCTATCTAGCCGCCTACGACATCTAGCGCTCCTGGCCGTTTCGATAATGGTATCAATACCAAACTTGGTATGGCATAACATGACTGTATGAAGAACATATTGTACTAGTCATAACATGAAAATCATGACATGTATGTCATGAATGTCATGATTTACATTTCATGATCCTACAGTTCTTGTAGTGGTTTTGTTCACATGGCATGTAGCAAAACTGGTATGGTATGACGTGATTGCATGACGAACACAAGTGACCGACCTTAATATAAAAATCATGACATGCGTGTCATGTAACAACATGAATACATGCCACGCTCATAAGGTGCTTGCAGCCGTTTCGCTAGCTTCACATATGCCAAATTTTGTATTACGCGACATCAGTAGATGACAAAGGTATGTGACTGTTGCAAATGTGGCAATTATGAGATGCGTGTCATGTGAGAACATGAGTACATACCACAGTCAAGGCGCCAATAAATTTCGACGTGATGTGGTGCGCGTGCTCCGTAGCGTCCATTTCGTCGCGTCACACAGGCGTTGCCATGCCAGGCACCAGTCAGCGCTGCGTTGCTTTCATGCATGCGCGTTTCAGCGCGTCTGGCATCTTTCCGTCACGAAAAGAGGGAGAGGCAGTGTTGTCTGGGTAAGGCATTGGCGCGATACGCAGCATGTCGCATTTCGCGCCAATTGCCGTAGGGCCGCGTCGACGGACGCTGGCCTCTCCGGTGGTGCCTAGCGTCAGACCATAGAGAGCTCGCGTTTTGCGAACGTAGCACCGCTGTGCTTAGTGTGCACGCACGTCAACGCTACGTGGGAGTACATTGGGCCCTTCATGATGCGCTCGCAGCCGTTTTGCTAACTCCACATATAGCAAATTTGGCGTTACGTGACGTCAACGGATTACGAAAGTATATGATTGGTGCAAACATGATAATGCTGACAAGCATGTCATTTAAGAAAATGACAACATACCACGCTCATAGCATGCTCGCGGCTGTTTTGCTAGCTCCACATATACTAACTTTGGTATAACGTGACGTGAATAGATGACGAAGGTAAACCACATATCCAAACATGATAATCATGACACGTAAGTCATGTACGGCACCATTTACCTCCACCTCGTAACATTGTGCTGATTTCAAAAGGACATGTCAACCTTCCTCATTCGTGCTTCGCAGATCATCGACTCCCACTGTACGTGGGATCTGCCAATTTTTCTGTAGTGGCAGACATCTTAAAAGGGTTGAAGGCATCATTTAGAATAGTAATTAAGAAAGTAATTCAATTAACTTTTTCATTAGTGAGCTTAGGCAGTTAAGCCAAATGGGAGAATTGAGCATATTCATGGGAAAAACCAATTGCCATTTTCAGATTTCGGAAAAATGGCCTCTAGTAATAACAGCGAATTAATGAAGTTCTCCTAAATTCTGCGGTGAAACCGAAACCAAAGGACCGACGAGCGCAACGAGCAGACGACAATGACGTCACTGTTCAAAACTATGGTTACATAACTGCAGTTCTTCCCCTTTCGTTAATGTATGTGCATCATGCGTGCTCTAATTGCACACACACTCACGCTACAAAGTTGGTTGATGTTTGATATAACAATGCTCTCTCATTTCGGATGTCTCAGATGAATATGGCAGTTTAGCTCTTGCATTTCGGTTTCGGTTTCATGGCAGAATTTAGGAGAATTTTGTTAATTTGCAGTTATTACTGGAGGCCACTTTCTCGAAATCTCATAACGAGAATGGGTTCTTCTCATGAATGGGTTCTTCTTATTTGACTCAACTGCCTAACTCCACTACTTGAAAAGTTAATCAAATTAACTTTCCAAATTACTGTTCCCAATGATGTGGTCAACCCTCTTAGATGCCTGCCGCTACAGAAAAATCAACGCTGAAGACAGTGAGCAAATAGTGCCTTTTGCTGATATTCAAAGAATATTGGACACATTTCTTAAAACGTCCTGTATATTGTCACGATGAATCACAAGTACTGGGGGGTTTATTAGACCACGGAGTAGCTAGCTCTAGAACGATGCGTCAGTCGTGGCTGGTTCTTGAGCGGAGAAGAAGCACGCGATCT